ACTACTCAGCCAAGCTTTTCCAAGCTGCAGTATAGTTAGGACAACAACAAAGTATTCCTTCATCCATCAAATTTGGAGGTGTTTGTTTATTGACTTTCAGATGTACGTGTATCTCTGTGTGAGTATAGGTTCAATATGGCAGAAGTCGAAGGACAAAAACTTCTGACTCCACCTTCTACTTCTCCAAAGGTTACAGATCTCTGCTCACTTCATCAGACTTCTACATGGCTTCTGGTACCAAATTTTGGTCTTCAACTTGTAAGGTAAACCCTTCACCCACTAACTCGTTTCCCATCACGGTCTTTGAGCAGTAAGTAGCTGGAACTGAGGTGTGTGCCAACTTGGTGTTCAGCTAGGTTTTTGAGTAAGCTAACATGGGGAAAAAAAGGTCCCAGGTAGCAGTTTTGATATGGGCCTAATTTAATAATGAAAACACATGAATTTCAACATTTTTGAGTGTACTTTAGAAGTATACTTCACTCATGGTCAGTGTTCAAAGTGTTCTATTCTCAGTTCTCATTTTCTCTGATATTTTTGGCTCTGGTATTTATCTTTTCCATATGACAAAAAAAAAAAAAAGAAAAAGAAAAGAGAACACTAGCTGTGGGGCAAAAGGTTGAAGAATCTATTACTTAAGCAGTACAAGAAGCTACTTATGATTCTTGATAGTTCTACCAGAAACAGATGTCATGAGTACTTTGTGCCACAGGAAAGGAGGCAGGAGGAATTCTGGGAAAGCAAATTAGATAACAAGAAAGTTGTAATCATACAGTTATGCTAATGAATCCATATGATAAGCTGCAGGTTAGAAGCTAGTGAATGGAACAGAATCATACTTTGTGGGGACAGTACTGATGAAAATACATTCTGTCTAGGGTCTCAGTCCACTTGCTGTGTGCTTTCTAGATGCCAGAGTCAAGAGTGAGGCCTGGGGTCTTTGATAAATATTTTTAAGTACATTGCACTTTTTCTAAAAACCAAGTCTTAAATTCTCGGAGAGCTTTACTAACAAGTTCTTTGAGATTCCATTTGGCAACAGAAAATGTCCAACACAACGCTAATGATAAACCAGTTATGAGCAAAGCAATATTTTAAAAAATCTGTAAAACTTCAGAGCATTAGCAAATAGAAATTAGTAAAAGTATGTACATAAGGGTAGAAATACATTTCAGAGAATGTGAAAATATTGTTTTTGTTAGACTTCATGGGAGATATGAATTCTAGGTTTAACTCTGAAAGTTTGGAAATAAAGGTAAAGGGAACATTATGGTAATGTCTCTCCTTCATTTTTATAACCTATGCCTTGGTCATAATTATCAAAAGTCACAATTTTTCCCTTAGTGGCAAAGTTTTCTGAAAACGTGGTATTTTGTAGCCATTTATCTAAAATGTTTCTCCCCATTCCTGATTCATGCTGCTTTAATCTAGTGTGCTTTGGCCAAGGCATATATTTGTTTTATTTCTTTGGCTCACCTCTTGGATTCTTTACATCTGTGAAACACTTTCCTGTTTACAAGCCACGAATATAATTAGAGGAACTATGGGTACTTGGGAGGAATGCAGAGACTCTGGCTTCACTTTCCCAGCCTAGGTTCATTTCCCAGCCACACTCATTTGCCATGACCCTGGAATGTTATGTGAGAGGTGATATGTTCTTTTAAAGCAGTTTTGGACCAAGACTCTTATCCATGTGAAATCACTAAGGTAAGGGAAAACAGCACAATCTACTTTCTCCCAAAGCTCTGTGTTCCTGTTCTTTCAAACAAATGGAAGGTTTTATGAGATGTGATGGCCATCAATTCCTCCTTTCTCTCCTCCCTTCCTTCAGTCATCACACAGATAAGCTTAGACATGTAGATCCTATTCCTAGGCTATTGATCATAAAGACTTAGATAGGACAATGTGTTTTCTTCTTTTGGCTCACATTGCTATTATTTCCTGTAACAGAAAAAGAAAATCCAAACCCACACATCACTGACGAGTTGGCCAAATATATCAAGTCTGGACTTTCTGAGAGTTTCAGGCCACACATGGCCTTAATAATGAAGCAATTCCTGGGTTGATTCGTTGTTTTAAAGATGAAAGGTTCAGTCTCAGTAGGCCGTATCCTGCTCTCAACCCTTACCCCCTTGATTTCAGTCAGGAAGTGACTGTTATGTCTTCCTAAATACCTGTTTAAAGTGATTCAAATTTATAAATGATAAAGTTTTCAGTTTTGAAATCCACCAAGTACTCCTGTCTATATTATTTTCAGTAGCAAAATATTTTTTTTCTCCTCATTTTGGACCTTACTAACTGAAGTTGACTCTTGATTCTCCCTGTAATTTATATGTTATAGTTAACGTAGGTCTTCTATGTGTTTTACAAACTAGGACATGTTTAAGATTAAAGCAAGAATTACTAATTATTATAATATGCGTTTGTGAATTATGGTCATGTTCAATAAGTAGTCTATCACCAATCCCATAAGCTAGTATACATGTGATATAGTTTGATCTGTATTGCTCTGATTTAAAAAAAAAATCACTCTGTCCACAAGCAACTTAGGGAGTAAAGAATTTATTTTATCTTACACTTCGAGGTTACAATAGGTCACTGACTCAGAGTAGGACCTCCAGAGAGAAAACTGAATGCAGGACTGCTTGCTATTCTATGAAGCATCCCTTCTGACCAGGGAACTCACTCACAGATGAGGGAGTACAACAGGAACAGTGGAGGGTGCTGCTATCTAGCTGCTTTTCTTCCTGGTGCTGGCTTGGTTACTGATTCACGACTACATAAATTTCTTAAATAGCCATGATCTCCTAAATAGAAATGATACTGTCTACAGTTCATTGGGTCTTTTTTCCATCAAATAGCAATCAAGAACACCCCCAACACACATACTCAGAAGTCAATCTGATCAAAGGAATTCCCCAAATGAATCTCCTTTCTGGTACCTCTAGGATGTGTCAAGTTGACAATCAAGGATCACTGAGACAACAGGACTCTTTCTTTATTGTTTGATAGCTGTGTTGATTTGAATAAATTGGCCCACACAGGTCATGGGTTTGAAAACTTGGCCCATGGGAAGTGGTACTATTAGGAGGTGTGACCTTGTTGAAGTAGGTATGGCTGTGTTAGAGGAAGAATGTCACTGTAGGAGTGGGCTTTGAAGTTTCCTGATGCTCACACTTTCCCAGTGTGGAATCAGAGCTTCTTCCAGGTAGACTGCACAGGACAGTCTCCTGGCTGCCTTTAGATCAAAATGTAGAACTCTTGGCTCCTCTAGCACCAAGTCAGCCTGTAGAATACATACTTGTTGCCATGATGATAATAGATTGAACCTCTGAAACTGTAAGCCAGCCTCAATTAAATGTTTGCCTTTATAAGAGTTCCCTTAGTCATAGTGTCTCTTCACAGCAATAAAACCCTAACTAATATGATAGCCAAACACCAAATCATCCCTATTGGTTATTCCTTTTCTATCCATCCACATTAACTGCTAATGTTAGCATATCAGTTCACTTTATTTTATAATAATTTAGTGGTAGAATTAACTTAGTTTTTCAACAGTACATATTACAAACCTAGGACATAAAGAAGATTAGGTAACTCTGTTAATTGCAATGATCTTGGTTCATTAGAATGAATCTTTTGTTTGGTTCCAGGTCTTCAGTTTCTGTGACACCATCAATATTGAATTCTTACCTGGCTTCCAGTTATTCTGCTGTTGCCTTGTGTCATGGAGATCCCATAGCTTTGGACCAGCTGGATTGTCCCTTTTACACATCCTAGCCATTTGCAGATGATATAGATTTTTTGGGGTGGGCCAACTCAGAGCCCTGGACCTGGGCCTAGGTGGTAGACGAGCTAGGCAGCTTGCTGGCTCTACCATATCTACAACACCAGGGAGGGCTCTCCGGCACTGCTCCATCCACCATCAGCATGAGGCAGGGTCAGTTATCCTGCTTCATGCTATAGGTTTCGCTCACTGGCCCCTCTCTCCCAATCAGAGCAAGCTCTACTATGTATAGGGCCTACTCTCTGGAGTGCTGTAGTTGTGTGTGTGTGTGTGTGTGTGTGTGTGTGTGTGTGTGTGAAGGCATCACCGCAGCACCTATTTGACCTCTTGGCGGAGGATGAGCAGGGCCAGCTCTCCAACACTCTTGCTTTAAGGGCTGCTCACCTGTGCCCCCACCACCAGGATCAGCTCTGTGGTGCTGTCCAGGTGAGGTGCAGGGTCCACTCTCCAGAGTATTGCCAGGAGAGATGAGGTCAGCTCTCCAGCCAGTGAGGGGCAGGGCCAATTCTGACAGCCCCTGAGCATCCATGTGCTCTCCAGCCACTTCCCTGTCCAGGAATATCCCCAGGTTCTCCAGTGGGATAGGAGCTATTCACACTACCCCCTGCTACTTTATAGCCATGAACCCAGAAATGGCCTTTAAGAGCCGCTTGTCCTAGGACCTCACCATGGCCCCTCGCTGGCTGCAGGTGGTAGTGCTGGCCATTCACAAAAGGCTACTCTTGTCCACCCTCAAGTCTCCAGTCCCATATCCCCTCATAATGCTCAAGCTCCTCCACTTTTCTTTCTCTCCCATCTGTCCCCCACTTACTTGCACATGATGGTGGCTTCCCTGCAGGCTTGCTATGCTGGTAGGTCCCTGGGTGACATCTGTCAGGTCCAAGAAGCATGGCCATGATGTGACAGTAAGCTGGTGTCTATAGCCTGTCTGTGGCCTGTGTAGGAAGGCAAGTCTGTGAGTGCCACGGCAGTCTAAGGTTCTCTGTCTTATCGTCTTCCTTTCTCCCTGTACTGAGTAGTGGTAGGTAGGGCTCTGTGTGTCTATGGCAGGCCTGTGCTGTGGGGAAGAAGGCAAATCTGTGAGTGCCCCCTATAACCAGTTCAGCTCTCTGTTTTCCTCCTGCACTGACTGGGCAGCCTGAATTTTATTTTATCTTATCTTATCTTATCTCATCTTATCTTATCTTATCTTATCTTATCTTATTTTATTTTATTTTTATGTGTCCTAGGCATAAAGTGGTATTGACCATCAAGTCAGGCATCAGGACAGGATAAACAAAGGACCTCCATCTGCTTTGCCCTTGACTGATATAAGATCATCACCAACAACAAAGTGTGTCTTTGGCCATTGCTGGGGGGTAGGATTGGATATTTCCCCTTCTTTATGATGAATTGAGTGTAGTATTGAGAGAAGAAATCTTGACGCTCGATTCTTTGATTCTGCGTTGGGCTTTTTCAACTACTCTGTTTTGAGTAAGTAACAAGTTTTCTGTGACTCAGAGACAAAGACATATTTAAAAAGAAAGATCAACACCTATTTGAAAGGTAGTTGTAACAATTAATTAATGGAAAATATCTTCCATACATCAAGTTCATACCAATTACTACCTATCAGCAAGACATGCTAAGTCTATTTCAAAGTCTTTCCTTGTCCCATTACCTTAGAATTTTGTCTTACTGCTGTTAGATCTGGATGGTGTACCTAAATGCCATAAGCACACAAGAATCATTCATGTGAGCAACACTTTAAAATTCTCAACATATCTGATTTCACATCACTATTTCTTGGCATAGGCTTGACTATCAGACCTTTAACAGGCTTTCCTGGAGATTCTGTTATGTGGCCTTGAGGAGGAAATTGCACTGCATCTTTTTTTTTTGATATTAGAAATATTTGCATGCAATTATATGTCCATAAATTTCAAAGTGTTTGAGTGCCTTCTATCAGACACTTTTTAGTACTTTACCTGAATTAAAGCAAATTATCAAAATATTTGAAGCTGAATGATGCTGATCTGTAATAGGATATAGTAGTCACATTATACTTCAATTAAGAGAAAAATTAAAGCAAGTAAAAACATGATTTATAAATAATTTCCCAAAGTCAGCTGCAATATTCTTAACAAAAAGCCACTCTTTATGATAGTTACTTCTCCCATAAATTTTGCAAAGTACATTAATTCTTATTTTTAAAGTCTTTTTGGATATTCTAATAAGTTATCAAATTAACAGCTTCATGAGAAACTGGTCATATCTCATCCACTGCTATAAATATTTTAGAACTCTTAACAGGATGATTTATTTGTACCATGTATCTGGTAAATATTTTGTTGAGTTAAAGTATCAAGTAGTCTTAAAAACATTTTTTCTTCTGATATTTTATTAAAGCAATGTTCCCAAAAATGTGGCTCCCAGATGGGATACCTGTGAGCTTGTTAGAAGTAGAAGTTTCTAGTCTTGAGGTAGTCCTACTGACTTGGAAACCTCTAGGGTAGAGCTTGGCACTCTATCGTTAACTAGCAGGACACATGATCATTGGGTTTTCTAGAGTGAGAGGACTGTTTCCCAACATATTTCACTCATGTGTTTACAACAACAGGTTGTTCACTGAAAATTAAGAGATGACCTCAAATCAGGCAATGATAACCATAAGATCTGAGAGAAAAAGGAGAAGGAGGAGGAAGAAGGGGGAGGGAGAGAAATATGGAGGGGGAGAGGGTGGGGGAAGGGAGGGGAAGGAGGAGAAGAAGACAGAACAATTGCTTTATTTAACAGAATAATGTTTTATATGGGTAAACATGAGGCTGTTATACATTAACCATGGATTTATTCAATAGCAACTGTACATCAAATGCTATGCTGGGTAATGGGATGGATACAAATTTATTTCCTGCCCTCAAGGAGGAATTTTTAGGCTAAAAAGACAGTCATGTACATAAATAATTAAAAACACAAGAAAGCAAGTGTGCCAGTTATTAAACTTTTGTCTCTCAGTTTCAACACCCATCTCCATATGCTTCTTCATAGTTTGGGCTAGGGCTCTGCAAACCACATTTCTTCATTGGTAGCAAGCTGTTAGGCTCTGCAAGTTTGGATACTAAATGAAGGCTGTGGCTAGGAAAGAAAAAGAGACTTGCTGTTTTCTCTTACTTCTCATGGCTTTCTGTATTTGAAAGTGTTTCCAGCTTCACTACTTAGCCCTACTGTGATCATTTCCTCCTGAGGCCCCAATAGAATCTAGTTTTCAGCTTTTCCTCTACTTGTTGGGCCAGCCTCCTCATATTTCTTCAGAAACACTAAAAGCAGGGCGCTATAGCTCGGCTTTAGAGTCTGATTCTGGCGCCAGGAAGCCTCTTCCATGATCCCAGCACCAGCTCAAAAACATCTTGAAGAATGTTTCAAATAATTCTAACCCCTTCCATTTGTTTCACATCTGTATGGGTGATAGCGGCTTCTTGCAATTGCTGCCACCATGATGGCTAGGGCTCTATATTTGTTTTATACTCTTATTAGATTTGACTGTATTCTTTATTTTATTATTTTATTTTATTACATCATCTCTGTTGGAATAGCTTGGAACTTATCTGACTGCTTACAAATGATTGTGAACACTGGTGGGAAGTGTTAGCGCAGCAGATAGTTACCTTCACACTTTCTGTTTGTATCAGTTTCTACATCTTATCACAGCTAATCTACTTAGAATCTCCTTTGCATTTTGAACTCAAATCTATAGATTGCTATTTCTAATAAAAGTACAAAGCATCTTTAGAATGAGAAATGCATGTATCACAGGTAAAATTACTTAATATTTTAAATAAATAACAGAGGGACAAGGGAAGTAATGAACTTATTCTTTGTTCCTACAAAAAGTATAATTTGAACTGGCAGGCTGAAGTTATAATAAGAAAATATTTCACGCACACACATACAAACACACACACACAGCACAACTATAATTAGGGGCTGGCAAAAAGTCTCAGTGGGGAGTGACACCTATATGTGAACTTGAGTTCTATACCAGTATCCCACACTTTGGCAAGAGAGTAGCAACTCCTGAGAGTTCTTGTCTCTGACCTCCACAGTGCTCCCTGACATTGTGGATGGATGCCTGTTTGCTTATGCATGTGTGTGCTTGCATGCATACAAGTATACACACAGACAAACACATACACACGGGAGAGAGAGAGAGAGAGAGAGAGAGAGAGAGAGAGAGGGAG